CCAGTGCTTCCCAAGCATTCAGACTCAGGATTTTCTCTTGGTACAAACTACTGTTTTCCCTTTCGCGCTGCTACAAACTATTTGTTCGTTCTTGAGCTACAGCCATGTTCTTTTTTTTTCCGCGCACCTCCCTTTTTCTCGTGGCTTAAAACCACCAAGCAAATGGGTAGGGACTCCCCTTAACCGAGTCACAATCAAAACCCTTTGTCGGTGAAGGTTAGTAAGGGACAATCCCCAGGCATGGTTCTGGCTCGACCATTTTAGTATCAGGTTTTGATTATGACTCCTCAGAAACCACCAAAAACAAGGTAGAGACCCCCATCTTCCTTTGGGCGTCCCTTCAAACCCACCAAACAAACACAGGGCTGACACCTTGATCCCCTCTGGGTGAATTATAACGACCTCTCACGACCTCACCCCAAATGGTAGTTTATGTGGGGACCACCGCAAGTGGGTTGGTGAACTATTGTAATTCACCCAGATACCCTGCGGTGTCCGGGTGTGAGACGGTTCAGAGGAACTTCCCGAAGCTGCCCTTCCTCTGGGTGATGCGCTGGACCCGCGAGGCCGCGCTGGAGGCGGGGTCAGCTACATATGCGACGCAAGCAAAAGACGTAGCCCCAAAAAAGCTGGTTTTGCTTTGGGTCAGCTACATATGTGGCGCAAACTGGGTGTATCCCAATTGGTTCTGTTTACCTCATTCTATCTCAAGAATCTAGGCGGCCGTGCCCATTGAGCCTAGCGCAGCAGCACCTGTCAATCTAGCTGATTCCCTGTCACGTGCCCTGCGACTCTGCGGACCTCGCAGATGATCAGGGTAGGCTCCAAGCGCTCAGCAGCTGCAGAATGAGACGAGAACCCTGGCCAATGCTGAAGTTAAAGGTCCAACAGCTGACTAGTTGAACTGCTGTGGCGGCGTGCCATAAGCAACCAGGGGCGCCATTGCTACGCCACATTTGTGCAAACTGCAAGTCTAGCAGGCCTCCGCTGTGTGAAACGCATATCCCAACTGCAGTCAACTGCTGGAACCGTCAGGAGCTTCACGAGTCCACGTTTGGCAGAGGCTGCTGATGCCTGTCGCCGCCCAGCAGACCGATGTCCGTAGAGTTCAGAGCTGTAATATATTATCCTAGGTCCCCCAGTAGTGCTCTTCTACCCTTTGTTGGTTGGGAGGGTTCCCCTACTAAAATAGACTACAGAAAAAAATCGGGTACCCTTATTCTAACTCTATTGGAGGAGCTAGTAATGCATTGGGTTGTGTCCATGGCTCCGTCTGGGCCACGCAAAGCAACTTGGCGATCGCTCGAAGGAGCCCTGCGAGCTGTCGCTGGAGCTGCTCGCCCATGGCCGCACGTCGCATGGGGAGACACGGCGGGCGTTGTTTGCTTTGCTTCTTTGCCCTTTTTTTTGGGGGGGGAGGATGTTGGATTGTTTCTGGTAGTGGATTTGTGTGCTTTTGTTTTGGTAGTAGTTTTTTTTTGGTTGTGGTTTCCCAAACCATCCACTACCAGAAAAATACGCTTTTTTCCCATGGTCACTTCGGGCATTGAAAAGCACGTGTCCTAAAACTGGACGCCCCTTCGGGATGGTTGAAACCGAGCAAATCAGAACCCTCCCTACTTGCAGGGGTCCCCTGGAAAATCCATGACAATCCCAAACGGAGCATGTTCCCAAGGAGCAGCGTTGTGTAGCATCAGCCCAAGGTTGGCTGCTTTCTCATCAGCGAAGTCATCGTCCCAAACATTTCGCAACTAGAACTTAGATCTAAAGAGACCAATGGATGCTGCAGAAGCAGCGCTTGAACCGAGCACCAGTGTAGGGCATGCCCGCAAAGCATTTCGGAACTGCCCTTGGCAAACTCACTTCCTGAGCTTCTTGTGACTTTAGTCATTTTTGGGTTTGGACCATGTTGGTAATTCAACTTAAACAAATCGGGGACTTGTTTAGTGCCCATCCACTTAAGTGAGAAACACCGGGCCCTATAGGACCCCATTTCTTTGTGTGTTGAACAAGCCGCCTCGGCGCGCTGCGAGGCTTGAAGTACATGCTGCTTTGTGTGGCTGCGGGGCTGCAAGTTTGGTCGAGTTGTTTTTTTTTTTTCTTTTTTTTTTTTTTTCCGTTCCCTTTATGTCTCAGCCAGGTCCCCCAGTAATGCCCTTTTACCCTTTTTTTTGGGGAGGGTTCCCCTACAGAAAGAAGGGTACCCTTATTCTAACCTCTCTACTGGAGGACCTAGTCAGGAAAACAAGGAATGAACCTTTCATTTGCTTAAGCCCTGGAGAAATGCGAGCGACAAGATGTCCAGCAGTTGATTCCCTTTAACCCACAAGGAAGCATTCAACATACTGTGGATGGTTGCGAACACAAGGCTGTGGATCAAAACCAATGGTACCATTTGGGCATTTTAGTCTATTTTAGTTGGGATTGGGATGTGTAGTGGGGGTACGGGATTTTGACCCATGCCCACATGAGGCTCCTTCAGGGACTCCTTATTTCGTGGTGACTTCAAAGAGCTTGGCCAGGCACGCTGGAGGCAATCCGCGGAAATTTCATTTCAACATGAAACTTGGGCTTCTGAGACAGAAAAGCTACCGCAGGATGCCTTCGCATACCATTTGGTTGCCCGCAAAGTCTGGGCAATTGGGCGCTGGCTTCTCACTCCCTGAGTTACGGGACTTTTGTCACGTTTTGCATAAACAGACTCGTCACTCAGAGTGAGACATGTGGCTCGATCCCAGGCAGCCCCACTTTTCAAGCGCTAAGCCTTCTGACTTTCCGGAAAAGCACGCAAAACTCGGGGAAGAATGCATGGATTTGTTTAAAAGACTGGAAACGAATAGGTTCCTCCTGGAACTTCCCAAAGTTGCAGGTTTAGAAGAAGCCACTAGTAGACCCCTCCAATGCACACCCCCGGACCCTCCAATGGAGAACCCCGACCAATTCAGATTTGAGGGCCCAAAAACAATCGAGACCCTAGGGGGTTGCGTTTACTTCCATTTGCTTAAGAATATGTTTGTTTATTTCCCCCTGTTGGTTTTAGAGGGGATCTATCACTACTGGATTTTTTTTCATTTTGTCCCCAAACGGAAGTTTAGAAGAAACCACCAGTAAATGCGTAAGTTGCAACTTTTGAGGGGCCCGACATCCAGTGACCCAGGACGCGCGGGAGAAGCTGAAGCCCAAACTGCAGCCCAATGAGCGCGAGGAGAAGCTCGACGAGGCGAAAAAAGCGAGCAGTTTTCAGGGGACTTTCTGCACTTTTGTTTCCCGCCTCCCCTCCTCCACAGGTCTTTTTTGGTACTAGGTCCCGCAGCTAGGCGCCCCCAGTAGTGCCCTACTAAGATAGACTACAGAGAGAAGTTTGTAGCCTTTTCGAACCTTTCTACTGGAGGACCTAGGGTGTATTGGTTACTTCATGTCTATGTGACTATGTGGTTGGATCTTTCAATTACTATTACTTTATGGCTATTTGGTAACGAATCTTTGGACCGCAGCTTTTTGGTGGCAACTTATGGCGGACTTTCCGTATGGACCCACAGGTTAAATTACTTGCCGATGGGGTCAACAGCATCCAAATTTAGGGTCGACTATAAATGTGAAATGTAATCAGGGCATTTTTTCCGGTGTACTCCAGATGCGGGCCAAAGTGTTGGGAAGGCCATTGTAATTTTAGACTTGTTATGGCCAATTTACTCTGGAAGCGGGTTTGGGGCTACGGGTTTTGCACGTTGCGTGCAGAAGGTTCGACGGTTCCTTTTGCGGTCTCTCTCAAAGGCTCGCGCCGACAAATTATCGTCCAGTTTGGCCCCTTCATGTCGATGTCGTTTTCCCGCTTTTTTCAGAAACTTGTCGTTGGCACTAAAAGTAAGCAAATCTCTGGTTTTTGAGGAAATCAAGCGCAAATCACTCACCAGTTCTCCAAACCATCAATCCAAACCTCCAAATGAGAGCAATTTGGTGATGTTCACCTTAGCCAAGGCTGCACTAATGTGGGGTCTTCACTTCCCTCAATTTGATGTAAGCTTCGGATTGAAGCTTGGTTTCCTAAATTGAGGGGATTAGATCCTTTAGAAGAATAGATCTCACCATCTTGTAGGTCAAGCTCACTTCCTGTGTCCAGCAAAGAGTCCACATAGCTTGGGGGTGTCTCATGATGTCGCCTTAGTGGAAATCCGGACCGCAAAAATTGCTTTTTGGACCCCGGTGAGCAGCACGAGCATATCCACCCAGGTTGGCGCAAGTCAACAAAAAAAACGTGGGTTGGCAGCATCCTCCGGCTTGGCATTTGTTGATTATATATGGTACTCCCCAGCAATGAACTTGGGTGGTCATTTGAAATTTATTAGAGGTCTGAGTGTTTGTTGCGTTGTGCGCAACACCCTTCAAGGCAACTGAAAAGTTGGCTGCGATGCAGCTGTGCAAGTCTCAAGGCTAGATTTATTGGTTGGCTTCCTGCGGGCAACCTGGGTAAACTCGCTTGCTGAAAGGAGCCCTGACTGTCAACCCCCCCCCCCTCCACCCCCTCTCCACAAAAATCAAAAGCAAAACATAGGGATGCGTTCGCTAGTGGGAACGCACAATTCAATCACCCTCTGAAGGGTGTCCGATAGAGGGGAGCCAATACCCAGAAAGATACCCAGAAAGATACCCTGTTACCGTTTTTGATCCGCGCCGTTTCGCTTCCAGAGCCTCACCGGGTTGGACGCTCACCACGACGCTCTACTGCAAAGTCTGCGGCCCCTTGGCATCAACCGGCGCTTTCGCTCCACCGTGGTTTCGTCACCTTCCAAAATGGATCTTGGGGGGACCCATTCTTTCGGTGGTTTCGAAGGAACACAAAAAAAAGAAAATGACCCATTTGGGGGCGGTCCAAGACAAACCCGCATGGACATGATACAAAGGGTGGCATATTGGTTGCATCCATTTCCCAGGTCCCGAACATGATACCTAAACTGAAATCCGTATAAGACTGTCAGCAAATCTGCAGCTTGATACCTGGCTTTGTGAGTAAACAGGATTAACACCAAATGGAAGCGTTTGAAAATAGGCCCGCTCCACATTCCGGCTTGCCTTTAAATGCCATCATTCCAAAGCGCCCCCACTTCTAGGACGGCTCCCCGAATCTGGATTTTCTTGTTGTTTAGCGTGATGCAAGGGGGAACGCTGGCATGATTAACAACCCCAAAAGGGTTCTTTGGCGGTCTTTACTGGTGTCCACGTGGTGCACACGCAAGAGCGCACAGACACGCAAACACGTGCAATTCATGCGATAACCAGCTGTCAGGTTCCGGGGCTTGTTGCACCATCCCCCTGCTGAAATTTGCAAGAATCGAGTTTGTATTTCGATGGGTGTACTTTGGGCTTGGGCAAAGTTAAGGGAGGGAGCTGCAGAGATCGCCCGCGCCTGCGCCGAGTGACTTCCAGCAGCTGGCAGAGCAGCCGCGCCGGCCGCTGCCGGAGGAGAGGCATTCGGCCAAGATGTCCAGTTGCTCGAGCCACGTTTGCGCTCGCTACATGGCCTCCTGAAGCTTTTGAAACAGATAATGGCTATTCTCAGTTGTCCAGTGGCTCCCTTTTTCCCTTTTTTGTGTCTGCCCCACTAAAATGGTCTTCCCAAAAAAGGGTTCCCTTTTTTTCCAGGGTCACTGAACAACTGAGTATTTGGTAGCGATTGTTTGGACTTTAACAGTCTGGTAGTAGCAAAACCATTGGACCCACAAGTTCATTTTTCGGCAGAGTCGACAGAAAGCAAGTTGGGGTGTCCCTTTGGCCGCAAGAAGGGTGTTTCTACCCTACCGGACTCACTGGGCAACTGGTTTGTTTGACCGGGGCTACGCTTCTTCCAAAGGGATTGGTAAATCGACTCAAAGAGCACGTGCCCATTTCGGGTCCGTTTTCAAAGTTCAAAGTGCTGGACGATTTCGGGAGTGTTCACCTGTTGATTTGCCTCATGGCTATGCGTCAAGTTCTGGTTTTTCATGTTTTTAGGCCAGAACCTAGGATCTAGGCAACAGATTGGGCCTGTCTTAAAGGGGCACGCGTGTCTTGGACACCATCCAAGCGCGAAAAGCATTGGTAAGCCCCCGCACTTTCATAGCCGCCGAGCTCTCGCTCCCAGAGCCCATCATGGTCCTTGGCATGTGTTTGTTAGGTTGTTGTTGGTTGGTCTTTTCATTCCCAGTGAAGGGTGCTGCAACAGCATTTGTTTGCTTAGCTGCATGGGATCACACCGCAACTGCCAACGATCACCCCTGTTTCGTTTGTTTGAGCAACTGCGGCGGCGGCTTGTCTAGAATTCCACAATTGGCTGGCGGGGGCGAGCCTGTGCTTCACCCCCTCCTGTTCAGTGATTGATATTTTGACCATCCTTTCTTCGTCTGCGAAGAAAGATCCCAGGCCGGGTAGGTTTCAGCTTGATGGGTAGCAGTTCTCACTGAGCTCATCTGTGTTCCTGACTTGTCTTCGGGAGTTTGGGCCGTGTCCCGTTCAGCTGTCCGTAGCAGGTGGACTCATTTGCCCCCATGTGTCTCAACATGGAACCTTTCTTGGATGGTTTTTTCAGGAAGCCGAAAGGAAACCACCCACCTGCCCAATTTTGAGCCACGCACTTTGGCGCTTTGGCGCTTTGGCGCTTTTCTTTGTTTTTTCGGCGAAGGGGCGCGCGCCCAAATCCGTGGCAATGCCGCAGGAGTTGCTGCGGCATGTGCGGCAGGCCATTGTGACCTTCGAGGGCCGCTGCTTCGCAGTACTGCTTCGGGCAGGCGCACGGGGCCCGACCGAAGGACGGGGCGGCGATGTGTCAGCCTCAGAAGGGGAGCACCTTTGGTTCTTTTGACACATCTGGATTCGTCTGGATTCCATAGCTTCATGCTCCGTTCATTTTACCCAGGCTTTTTTAATCTCCTTCTGGATTATAGCTGTTTAAAGGCCAGCTGGCGTAATCCAAGACTAAGCCGCCCTGCCAACCATGATGGCAAACAACACGTTGAGATGCTGTTTCACCTAATTCACTCAAGTGAGCTTTGAGCGGATCCTTGTTTCTAAGAGGTGTCTTGATTTGTCAAGATCAAAAAGTGAGACCACAGCATGACTTGGGTTGTTTGCCCAACCAATCACAGGCACTTGTGTTTTGTGTGGACCACTGGAGTGCCTGCTTTGAGGTAGACGCCTATCAACTCTCAGGACTCAATGGAACCAGGCCCAGAGCGCAAATGTTTTTGTTGTCTATGTTTCATTTGGGAGGGATAAAGTCGGCGGGCGGTGCCCACAAGCCCTCCACTGACCAAGCAGCCAGCATCCAGGGTGGGATCGCTCGGGGTTGCTCCAACCACTTCCGTGATACTTTTGGGAATCCCCCTTAGGAAGAAAATCGTCTTTGGGGTTGGGCCCTTTCTGTTGTATCACAGATTCGTGGATTCCATTCCCAGCCCTGAACCAGCCTGATCCCCGCGTGGTTGAATTGGAGGTGGCTACCAAATCCTATTCCTCGGGTGAATTCCTCGAGCTTGTTCAGTTCCAAATCGCTTGCACTGGTCCTCCCCAGTTCCTTTTCCAGTTCCTTTTCCGGCGCCTAATTAGGATTTGTCGCATTTTCCCGGCAATTGCTTTCTGACCCTGAACTCTTTTGAAAAGATGAACACGTATTTGTTTCTTGTTGAAATCAAGCAAATTGGCATGCAACAAATAAAAAAATATTTTTAGTATCTGGAAAGGGACCGGGAAGACAATCAGGAAACAGAACACAGGAACTCGACCGCCGGGATTCGGACCTGGAAACGCTTCAGGAATTCGACCACCCTCGGATTAGGAACCGGGGGGTATGTGGGGGCGGTGTGCGCCGCAGCTGTTGGGGGTTTGCAGCAGGCATACCACACTTAGGACTCGGACACGAGCAAGGGATTTGTTGCCTAACTTGCCTCTGTTCAAAAAGTAGAGGCTGGGGCAAGTCTACTTGACGGCCTAATCACGCCCGGGTTTGGGCCCTGGCAACCACGACCCCCTCGCAACCCGGAAACTTGTCAGAAAGGCTTCGGAGAAGGGCTCTTAGAACCATTCTGGCCTAAACTTGACTGCTATTGGGCAACGGATCTTTAGTCTTAAACTTTTTGGTTGAAATAAATGTGTTTTCCACTAAACCCCCCCAAAAAGTTAAACTTTTTGCAGGGGGGTCAACAGCAACCAAGTAAATATATTGCCTTTACGGGACTGCCCTAGGCCTTGAGAAGAAGCAGCCGCGCTGGGTGATGCTTGGCCCGCAGCCTTTTGCGCGGCACGTCCGGGAATGGGCGCCTCTGAAGGAACAGATGGCTCTGAACGAGGGCGGGCGGCAAATTAGAAGGCTCACTGTTGATTCCCCTTGTGGCTCCGTAAAGGTCATCAAAGGTTAGACCCTTTGGGCAAGTGACACGGAGCTGAACGATTGGGTAAATCAAGCTCAACCGTTATGAAGATTTATGGGTCCTTACTTTTCATGTGTGAACTGTTAGGTAATCCTGACCTTGCCTCGCTTTAGGATGAGCGCCTTTTGCTTCTGCTTTCGTGTGCGTGACCTTGAGAGGACCAATCCTTTCAGCAAAGCCCGTGGCACCTTTTGGCTTGTCTCAAGGATGTGACCCCAAAGGCCCCAAAAATCCCCAAAAGGACCTTTTCGCAAATCACATGGTGGTTGAGATTTAACCTACCAAAGGCTAGCCCTTCGCTCAAGGAGGAGGAGCAACCCAGTTGTTCCCTGTGCGAGTTCACTCTCAAAGGACCCCCCAAAGCAATCCAACTGTTGCTGTTGGTTTGGTTCTAGGGGTTGATTGCTTTTGAACTGTTCCACCGTCGTTCTTTTCACAAACCGGCCAGTTTCGCTTGAGTTTTGATTGAAAGTGCTTCTCTTCAGAGAAGGAGCCCTAGGGGGGAAAAAACAAGGAAGTTACCCCAACGGCTGTTGGCGATACTGAAAAAAGCTTTAAACACTAAAAACAAAAATCAGACTTTGCCCAGAGCAAGTCGGCTTTTGCGCCAAGCACCCTAGAGAGTACGAGTTGGTCTTGCGATTGTGGTTTACCTAGTTCAAGACCAAAAAAACAAGTGCGGACATCCGCCCTTCTGATTATTTGCGTGTTGTGTCTACATGTCTAGTTTTCTCCAAGGCTTTGAGTCACAATGGTTTCTGCGTTGAGTCATGGTATGTCAACTCCTAGGTTTACTCCAACTCCTGCCCATTAAACTCAAATTGGGCACCCTTCTGACTATTTGAAGAGGGATTGCCTTCAGTGCGGCCTTGGAGGTTGGCCCCAGATTCGAAAAAGAGTGCTTTGACCGTTCTCCTGGGTGCGAAATTGCCCAATACTTGCTCATATCCTCCTAAAGGAAACCAAAGCAGGAGCATGGTGTTCAAACATATTGTCCAGCACTAGTTTATCACCGGTCTTTTCACCCATTCTTTTCACTCCGGATGCCATCTGACTTAAGCATTTGCCCGAGCGGCCGAACCTGCAGGTCTTGGTGATTGGCTGGCGCGCAAAGAGTGCTTTACATCTCTCACCGCTTTGAAACCATGCTTGAAATACCGCAACGTGCACTAAACACTAAGGCTAAGCGAAGGGGATGGCTGGGACAAGCTAGAGGAAGCTTGGTTGCGAACGTTCGCTCCTCTGCCAACAGTTTGTTTCACTTTTGGGACCCAATGGACAATCCCGCAAGTTTTTTTTTCTCAACCAGTAGTTCAAGTCCAAGGATATTTCACCAAATAGCCTTTCAGAGTAGCGTGCTAACCCCAGATTCCAGAAGCCCTTTGAGTCTTCCATGTTGCTGGGCTGCAGGTTCTGAAGCGCCCCTCTAGCTCCGCTGGATGGCTCGGGCCCCTCATGCAACAAGTTTAGGGTATTACTTGCCTGGAATCAGGACCCCTTTGCACAAAAATGAGATCTTTTTTGCCCGGTAGTGGAAAACAAAGGGGACCCCAAAAAAGCGCAAAGGCAATCAGAAAGGGGAGTTGATTCCCCAACGCAAATGCCAACGGTAGTTTCCATTTAACCCACTAAAAGTTAAACTTTTAGCAGGGGATCTGAGGGCAGCTCAGCTAAAAGGATGCCTCTGGTGTGTTCCATGGTGGGCTACCTGGGTCTCGCGCGACCGAGACCCAAGGTCTCGCAGATTTTCGGCAAGTTTCTGCAGCTCCCGGCGTCTCTCAGCGACCTCTTGCGCCTCGCCGGGAAGGGGCCTGGTGCGCGGGTTTGGTTGGCTTTTGTATCCCAGTTGCCCAGTGGGTTGCTTCCTTTATCTTCCCCTTTAAACTCGAGTATGGTCACTGGGCATCTGAGGTATTGATGCACTGTCGGCCAGCAAGACGAATGTTATGCATTCAGGTGAGATCTGGCAGTTGTCTGGAAGCGCTTTGACCTTTGGGATCACAACGTTCAAGTCTCCGAGGGCTCGTATTGTTTCGGTGGACTTCCATGGGTTTTGATTCCAGGCAACTTGTTCGGGCTGCGCGCGCCATCAGCCTGGCAACTGTTGGCTGGGGCCGATCAAGGACCACGAGGGGCCATGATTTCGCTCGGACTGGGTGGGGTGTGTTCTCCAGGCCAAAGACCAGAAAGACTAGCTAGCTTTAGCTTCCTTTCAGGGATTCCATTCCTTTTGTCAGCAGCGTTTGGCCTACACAGGGCTGTGTCATGCTGGTTGCTTTTTTGCTGCAGGCTGTACTGGCTATACTACGTTCCCAGGATCCCCCATGCCCAGAACTCAATGTTCGCGTGGCTTTTGGGCATTCAGCATCTTTATGTCTCTTGCCTGCCATCCATTTAGCTCGGGTCGAATTGCCTCTTTGTTTCAGGCAGGCAAAGGTGTCCTTTTTGGTTGTTTTGCCTAGAAATGGCCTAAAAATGGAAGGCGCTGGTTTACCTGGTGGTTCGATCATCTACCAGGGCCATCTATTTCCCAAAAAGGACACCTATGCAGGCCTCACAGCTCGGGCAAACCAGGGCCTCGCTGGTGAATGCAACTGACAAGTAAGCTGATAAAGCCATGGAGAGTCACGAGACAAGACAGCCCCGCAGCATGCGCAACTCAAAGAAACCGCGGCGATTCGTTGAACCTGTTCTGCCCCTTTGAAATGAATGAGGATGCAGGCTGGAAAAGTGTGATTTCAGGGCACCTTCATTTCAACACCAAACCCCTAAATGCTTTAGTTCACAAGGGACGGTCATGGCAATGTTGTTTGGGAACCTTGAAACCCAATCAACACGCGGCTCTGCCCGCAGGCAACGAAAGCTGCCGCAACCTTTCAGACGGTGAACACGACAGTGCCCAGCAGAGCTTAAGACTCGGGCGCTTGCGCCCTGCTGGAATAACCCTGCCCCTGTAAGCGACCCAGGAGTTTTGTTGGCATGGCCGTTGGTCAGCGGAGGCCAATAAATGGGTATGCGTCAAGATAGGGAGCCCAACACAGTAGCCAAGGTCTCCCATAAAACCAACCTAAAAGGAGTACCGCACACGCACACGCCAAAATACGGATCCCACCAAAACAGAGTTCGAGCCGGGAAGAACAAGCAGAAGTCGGTGCAATCAGAGCTGCCACTGAGGTCCGTGCAGGAGCACATTCTCAGCTGAGCCTCGGCAATATGTGCCCCTTCGAACGTCTTCTAGCCACATTGTGAGGGCCAAGGGAGATAGGGAGCTCAAGAGCCCCCAACCTGGTAACATTTTTCTCGGGAACCTGGAATTACGTCCGGGCCTTTCAGACTCGGAGCGCCTTAAGTCCCTTGCCTCGATGTTACAAGTGCCGTTGTTCAGTGCCGCTTTGGTCCCATTCTCATTGGTTCCGCAGCAAAAATCAAACATGGAAAATCGCCCCCAAAGGGGCTCCAATTATTTGTCTTCCAGGCTGGAATTTGGTTTTCAGTTGGCCAAAGCCGCTGTTTGCACCTGTTCATTGTCCAGCGTCTTCTTGCGTGTCACGGTGCCAGAGGGTCGGCCTTGCATTTTGGGGTCTGAGAAGTGACTGCATGTCTTGGTTTTGTCGTATTCTCTCTTTTGCACTATGCCATGCGTGTCGCTGTTCGGTTTTTGGGAAGCAGGTACTTTGACAACTGAGTTGAACGTTGTGTATTTCTTCAGCGGGTCGTTCGGTGAGCCGACTGTCTGACATTTGGGCTAAGGCTGGGAAGCGCTGCGAAGCGAGCCCCAGGCTCGAGCCAATCGGATCGGCTTGAAGCCGCTTTTCGAGAGCCCAAGACTGAGCTAAGTAACACAAAGTGCCATAGTGCCACGTGTGCAGCTTTGCCAACTTTGGCGACGTAATTGTCCTAAATCTCCATTCTGGTCAGTCATTTTGCTGCGGCCTTTTTAGGGATCCTTTCTGATCCGGCAAGCCCACCAGAGGCCCAGAACAAGTGCTTGCTCGCTTGACACGAAGGATGAAGAAAGAGAATGGAACAGGAATACCCCCCATAAAGCTTTCCGTTGGCTTCGAGACTCAGAGTATGTCCGGAGAACACTGGGGAATCAAGAGGCATACCAGCTGGGCCATCTCAACGAAGCTCCAAAAGAACAAACTGCTGATGTAGAGGACCTGAATCCTAAAGCAGATGTTTTGGGATGCATCCTCTTGCCCGGGGATTGCCAAGATCAAACATAGGCAATCCTTGAATTGAATGCTATGAGGTTGGATCTTCAACTTTCGTTTTCTCCGGAAAGCGGTACGACTTTCCCGGTCGCCTGCAAACTTTGGGCCCGGGGTTCTTGCCATCAAGTGAGCCACAATCAAAACCCGGGTAGATGAAGCTTAGTACAGGACACTCCCAGCCATAAATAGCGGCCGTATTCCTGAAGCATGGTTCTGGGGATCGACCAGTTCTGGGGACCGGGTTTTGAGCAAGTGACTCAAGTTGGGGCACTTTGGGCCTTGGTTTTCAGGCCTTGGCTGCCTTCGTGGACGCCGGGGGCCCCCAAGCCATCGCCGCACTCATCGCGAAGGCGACGGGAGGACTTGCGTTGGCTGGACTGGATGTGTCTCAAAATAGGGGGCCCCTTGTTGGATGGCTTTAAACGGAAACACCATGACCCAGGTGTTGCACGATGAAATTCAACTTTGTGGGTATAATAGGTTCGTGTAGTCCACTTGCATGGGAGTTGGGATGCGACCCTGAACCACTTTGTGCGGTCTTGATGCACTGTGCAAAGCAAATCCATCTCTCGCAAAATGTCAAGCCGGAACTGGTTCGAATCTCACTTTGAAGCCAGCGCCGTGCGCCAAAAGTTCGGCAAAGCATTGAATACGCACACAAACACACACACACACACACACACAAAAGCAGAAGCACAGAAGCAAAGAAGCACACAAAGCACATGCATAAGTTGTGCTTTCATTTACTTGTGCCATCTATTTGGCTCACTTCCTCAACTTCCTCGGTTTCTTTACATGCGCGCTCACAAGCACACCCCGAAGCCGCCAAGAACCACGAGAATCCAGCTGTAGTCCAGATGCGCGTCAGGCAGGTGGACGAAATGCGTTTTGACTCCAGGCTCATGGTTGTTACTGGGAAACCTTTTACATTGTTGCTTATTGTGGTTTAGTGGTTGGAATCCAACCACTCAACTGCTATTTTGTTGATTTTCAAGCTCCCCTTCCAACGTCAACCAAGGGCTGGTTGGCTTTTGCTGCCACGGACATCCACACCTGGCTCCTGCCTCAAAGGAAGGGCAAAAGGAACTGGCAGCGACGTGCCTCCAACCGCCGTACCACGCACATACATGTAGCACCAGGCGCAAGCATGCCCGCACGGGAACACATGCACGAACGAGGATATCTGAAATTCTACCCAGCGTGCAAGATGCCGGTTTGTTTAATCTAGACCTCCAGAGTTGCCGTTGTTTCCTTCTTGCAGGGTTTCCCTTGATTGAACAACAAGTATCAGAAACAGAACACCTAGGTGTCCTTTTCATCGGCTATGGTTAGAAAGCGATGGGTTCCACTGGTTTAGGCTGGCTTCATTTCCCATTTACCAGGGAACTCCATCTATTTTCAAGCAACAGGACACCTAACATGTAGCATTTGGTTTGCCTTCTTGGCCACTGGAGCTCCAGAAGCAATCGCATCGCCAGGTGCTTCCAGGTCTCCGGAAGCAACAGGCCGGGAGCTCGCTGCTTTTTGGCCCAGGGTGAGTGTCCCTTGGTGGTGATGTTTTTTTTGGGGGGAAATGTCGGGATCGATCCCTGGCTCAGGGTCTTGCCGGGAGGTCGCTGGCTTCGCGGGAGAGCTAAGTCAGATCAGCATGGCAAGTCTACGGGTACCGCACGCCGAATCCTAGATGAAAGCCGATAAACAATGGGACCAACCACCTAGCTGCTGCGAAATTGTTTTTGTCCATCCACAGTCCACCCAATATTAGGCCAGGGTTACCAACCATTTCGCTGAGTCCCAGAGCATCCAAACGGGCAGGGTTGGGCGGGGTTTAAACAAGCGAGCCTTGGGAGGTGCCTTGAATGAATGAAGTTGCAGAGCCCTCAAAAGTTCTCGGAGAGGGTCTTTTTGCGAACTATTCCGGAACGCATAAAACAAAAACTACATATTCGCACATTTTTTTTTACCTATTTCGAGGGGGCCTCACTCGAACCATCGCTTTCACGGGTTGGAGATGGAAAATCCATTCGCCCAGGGAAGCTACAGCCCGAAGCTGCTGCAGCTCTTCCTCAAAGAGCCCCGCGGCAGCGCAGAGCCGTTCCGGGGTTTCGCCGAGGGGAGCCCTTACTAAATTTGCCAGAGAGGCAGCCTTTCGGAGCCGCCAGGAGCTTTGCAAGGGTATGGTGGATAAGCTATACCCCACAAAAAAAGCAAAAAAAACAAACTGTCCCCAAAGTGGAGTTAAACTTGTCATTCTCTGCGGTTTTCAAGTGGCCCATCCGTGGCATCCTTCTTTCCGGAAAACCACCCAACATAGCATGTTTTTTCCTGGATTCCCCCTTTTGCCCGATCTCGATTGCAAGGATTTGGGCCTGGCAAAGGGTCTTGTTGAGGCTTCAAGATTCCCGGAATCAGGGAATGCCCCTATAAACTATCCCTTGTGGCTTCCTGCCCCACGGAATCGCACATGCACCGCCCACTGGTTTTCCCAGGCTTCGATGTCGAATTGTCGGTTCTTTTGTTGGACAAGAGGTTTCTTCACCTGACCTGGCACTGGAGTTCCTTTTTGGTTGTTCTGGTAGAAAAATAGATGGCCCTGGTGTACCTGGTGGTTTAATCATCTACCAGAACCATCCATTTCCCTTAAAAGGAGGCCTATGTATGTGCCAAGGCCGATGCTCCGATCGGAGCCAAGCTTCCTGCGGGAAGCCTTTCAGCTGGCCTTTGAGCTGAAGGATGACGAGAGGGGAGCGATGGCGAGGGATTGCAGCTGGGGTACCCCCCCTAGGTCCCCCAGCTAGCTGCCCTTTTTTAACGCCTTTTTTTGGGTTGGGAGGGTTCCCCTACTAAAATGAACTACAGCGGAAAGTTGACACCCTCATTCTAACCCCTCTATACTGGAGGACCTAGTTACAGTGCCCCAGCTCCCTGGGTTCTGTGCCTCTCCAAAGCTGATGGGGCTCTATGTTAACAGTGTGATTGCTTGGTTTGGATGGCTGTTGTAAACGAAGCCCTGGCTCTTGATACCACAGATCCGAAGCAAATGAGGGCAAAGTGAAGTACAGAGCTCCACAATGGCGGGTATGCCTGTCGAAGCCTCCAACAGCTGTGTCCCTGATTCATCAAGATGAGGCTTGTTTCTGGGTGACATTAGGGCTTTTGGCGTGACACCACCAGCAGTTTTGAGCCATGACCATGATACAGCTTGTACTTGCCCGAGGTGGCGGTGGAACTGTTTCGGATCAGCACAGAAGCAGATACCCGCGAGTTGGCGGTGTTGATGGGCGGTTGGGCTGGAACCCTTTGAAGCAAATAGGGAAGGGATATGAAGGGACCACCAAACCAAAACCCTCGGCAACAGATCTGTAACATGTTTGCGGGCTAGGGGAAAGGGTCGTTTCCCACAGGTCATGATTGGTCCTTGAGTTCACATATCTCCAATCCAGGTCTGAAGATACCAAAGAGCACGCCTTGGTGTAGTGGATGGGGGAGTATTCGCCACAACTTGGGCCAAAAGAGGTACCCTTTTTCCCATGGCCGTTGGTCTTGGCCGCCAATGGGCCGATCTCGCACCACCCAAGAAACCCTGGTTTCTTATAATTCCCCCTGCGAATACCAACAAACGATGGTTTCAACCTTGGATTCAAAAGTGGTCCGAACGGAATTCGTCCATGTTCTAGGGTTCTGCTACCCCGCCCCCGGCTGCTCGCATCGACACCTAAGCCCGGCAGGATTCGCACACTGCGCGGGAAGTGGAGGAGGCCCTGAGAATTTCCAATGGGTTGCTAGGTCCAGTAGTGCCCTTAAGAATGACTACAGCAAAAGGGTACCCTTATTCTAACCTCTCTACAGGACGACCTAGGTGACTTCCCTTTTTTTCCATGACTACTGGAGGTGTTGAAGGAGGTTGACGGAATCGATCTGCAACTGTCTGGGTGCTAACCAGGGATTGCAAAACTCAGAAGATGCCCGCCCGATCCACAGCATATCCTTCAACCACTCCCTGATCTCCTGAACCTTCTTCTTTCTGGGGAGGCCATATGTCAGCGTCAAAAAGAAACAACCGTCTGAGAGTTGTTGGGGAAAATCCAGTCAGGAAGTGTTGATCCACTTGGATATCCGGCCTGGCGGCACCAGGAAAGAAACTTATAGAAGAGCTGTCTTCTTTTGGGTGAACCCCACCCCGCGTCCGACCCGGGAAGCACGAAGAGCTCCCTATTTGCAACAAATTGTATGAACCCACCCTTGTGAACTTATAGCATGCTTTTCGGTTAAATATGTCTAGATGTATGTCAACCACAAGCTGGAGCCATGGAGCCATGAACCAGGGAGCACAGCTCTAGCCCCATTCCTTTCAACCATCGTTCTTTTCAAAAGACAGCTGTTTCCCCGCGGTTTTTGATGATTTCCTGAAAAGCAGGATCCCTGGAGAGAATGGGGAAGGTAGCCCTAGAATACCAGGTACTTACGTCCATTATTGCGTCAAACTACACCCGGCATTCCAGTGACGGCTGCTTTGATGTCCCAACAAGTAGGGTTCCAATTATCTAAGCAGTCGTCGCATGCCGCGGAGTCCGTAGTTGTTTGTTCCGAGGTCGTTCAAGGAAGCCATTTTCGCGCATCCCTCCAGAGCATATCATTTGTTCTGCCAGCGGCAGTTCTGGCAGCTGACGGATCTCTGCAAACTCACTTGCCCCTTCAGCCAATCGACTGTTTTCATATGTTGGTCAAACCTCCTGCAGCAATCAAGGACACTGACAGAGGGTTTTGGAAGGCTACGTCGTTTTCACTTTTCAGGAAGCCCTCCGTCCACTTCCATGTTTGTTGGACAGAGGGTAACCCTGTTTGGCCCTGAAAGGGTCCGGCAAGGGCAAGCCTTCATCCCCAAACTGGACAGGAATCCCTGCAGGAGCCTTGGCGCGCGCTTGTTTAAGGGGAACACGGAAGCCACAAAGAACGTTACCATTAAAATGGTGTCCCCTAGCTTGACACAGGTGATCTGGGTCAACCTTGGCTTGTGGGTGTCCTTGGTGGTTGTTTTGGTGGAAAAATAGAGGGCGATTCCTGGTTCACCTGGTGGTTTCTCATCATCTACCAGGGCAACCCATCTATTTCCAACCTAAAAGGACACCTATGCTATAGATCATACCAGTGTTTTTTCCGCTTTACATAGCAGAAACAGGAGCCATGTGGGTCAGGTTATGCTGCGCAACGTGCATTACCAGCTCATGGCGAAGCCCCCAGAGGAGGCCAAGTCAGCGAGTCAGCGAGTCGGCCGGTCGCGAGTTTCGTTGTTTTGGGCGGGGTGTCACGCGTTGCTCACTTCCTGAGTTGATGCCTCACTTGTGAGTAGAAACCGTTTCTTTTTGGCCAAGAACAGAGAGTTGAAAGCGAGTTCACCAGAGAGGTACCCTTGTGGGATCCGCCGCATGGACTTTATATAGTGTATATATACCTTTTTTGACGTCCATTTTGGTGGCATTTCGACTTGTTTAACCCACTCAGGAAGTGAGATTATGGAATCAGCAAATTAGAAAAAGGGAGCCCTTTTTGGGGTTGATTCCATGTAGTTTGCCTCCCAAGCGCCAAACAAACATCTAAAAAGGGAGTCTTGACACAATCCCCCGCAGATTTCGCCCTCAACGCAGAACATCAGAGGTTTGAATCTGGCTTCAGCCTAGTCCATACTGTGGATGGCTTTCACTTGCCAGTTGGCCTAAGTTTTACCAACATGGGTGATTGTCATGGCCAACTGGCAGTTTGAAGCTTTCTCACGTGCTTTTGCGCAGGGAGCCGCGCCATCAACCCCCTGACTCCCGGCTGGGGCCATGTGAGTCACAATCAAAACCCGGCTAGATGAAGGTTAGTAAGGGACGATCCCAACCATAAACGGGCGACGATCGAACACCCACGTGCAAGAGTTAGTAAGGGGCATATTCACGTGTTCTGGCGCTGTGCGCGCGAAAGGTCGTGTGTGAGCAGAGAAAAGTGTTTTTTTCTCGAAAGGGTCGGTCACAATGAGTTTAGAGGATGCTGATTCAGCATTCTCTACATTTTGCTTTGCCATTGTTGGGGGTTGCCCAACAGCAATTTCGGCCAAGGACCAATAGCATTTGGGTGTGTTTCGGGGTTGGTCCACAGGATGCAAACCACAGCACCTCCAAACCTGCTTTTGGCATTGGAAAATAACATTAGGCGGGTTGAGTCTTTCCTTGAGAATGCAGACGAGGGCGTTGTGGGCATTGGAAAATAGCTTTGCGCGGGTTGAGTCAGCCCTTGAGCACGCGCCCCCGAAAGCTGTTTGTGGAATTAGAACATAACATTTGGGTGGGCTTTGTGCTAGTTTGCCGGTGCAGAGTTTGAAACGTGTTCAAATTGAGTCGTTCCCAGACCAGACCACCCCCAATTGGGCATGGGAAAATATCATTTGGCTGCGTTTCGGGGCTGGTCTCTATCGCAAATGAATGTTGCTTTCCTCTTCCAAAAAGTTAAGTCGGCGACGGGGATACAGCATTTAGGCAACTTCTGTGGCGCAAAGCAATTCTGGAGATGGATGGCACGATTGCGTGGCGATGGTCTGCGCGGGGGTCGGCCCTTGCGAAGCTTGGCATGGAGAAGGTGGCCCAGGTACAGCCGGCTCAGGGCCAACCAGTTCAGGCAGCTCAGGGTCAACCAGTTCAGGCTGCTCAGGCTCAACCAGCTCAGGCTCAGCCAGACAGACCGTGAGGTTGTGGTTTGAGGCCGGCGCAACTGCGGCCACTGCCAGGTGTGCGGCGCAGCTTCTTCCAGCTGAACGACTATCAGAAGGACCAGGTGCAAAGTCAATCTTTGGAGAAGCGGTCCGCTTACAATTGCACCCCTGGCAACAACCGGCTGGCCGAGCTGGTTGCGGCAGTGGTGGCCAAAAGATTGCTACCTGCTGACAAGCACTCTCAGGAGTGAATAGCCACTTTCGGGAGCGGATACAACTGTGTTTGTCTTGACCCAGTGGGCAAGGAAGCCTTCTCGCAAGACTACTGCAACTACTGCTACTTGTTCACGTCCTCGATCGCGGTGCTGAAATGCTCTTCTGGGCAGCTCTGCAAAACGTTCTGCCCGCCTACTTCCGGGACTTTGAAGAGCCGTGTGAGTCTGTGAGGGTGGCTTGATTGTCCACATGGAGGCATACAGTACTTTCGCCACATCAAGCAGCATGCTGAGCAGCGCCCAGGACTTCGGAACGAGGCGTTGCCTTTACAAGAAAGCTGCAAAACATATTTTCAAGACCGTCAACACAAAGTCTGGCAAGTCGTTCTTGGAACTTGTGTGTGCGGCGCCGTGTGTTTCTTGGGCTTGGACAACATTGCAGGAGGTGCGCGGAGCTCGCATCGAGCGGCGAATTCGCGGGGAGATCGACGGGGCTTCAAGTCGAACGAATGGCACCGGCTCATTGCAAAGAGGCAGTCCAGAGCGTTCAAAAAGCATTTGGAGTCGTTGGCTTCCGCTCAGGTCTTGGTCTGGAGCGATTATAAACAGAACCTCGGCGTGCCTTAATTTGGCCCTCACCCAGTTGGGAGACATGTTCTACGGCACTAGCAGGATGGAACTCACCTGCTGGGGTTGCTTGGTGTTTGAGAAAAGGATGGCAAAGTCACTACGAAGCATTTCATTGTGCCTTCGTCCGTGATCGTTCGGCTGTGGTCTCCAACCTCTTGTACGGAGAGGTGCTGCGACACTTGGATCTCCGCGAGGTACAAGAAGCGCTGGCATGGAGTGACTGCGGTCCGCATGTCAAGTGCTACGAGCATGTTGCAGGATGGCGCTTGGTAGAATCAGATGTTCCCAAGCGGGTCCGCCTATGCTTCCATGGCAAGAAGCATGGGATTGGACGGGCCGGAAGCTGGGTAAGCGGATGCATGCATGCTGCCAGTTAATGTTTCTATTGTTGACGGAAGAAGTCCTGGGTGCGAACCTCTTGATTGCCCCCAATCGATTCATTTTTGAGCGGTGATGCGTAAGGGTGGTGCAGGATGTTGTTGCCTAGAAAACCTGTCAGGTAGATGGGCCGGGTCAGCAGCTTCTTGGCAACGACAGGCGGGTCGCAAACATAGATGAAATGGAACAGGTGCTGAAGGCTGTGGCGGAGGCTGCCACTTCTTCTGAAGCTGGACGCAGGCGTGCAGTACATAGTGCCCCGATGGGAGCCTCCGCGCAAGCCAGAAAAAGTGTGGACTTTGCCAAGGCCAGAGTTCCAAATCTCTAAGATGTACTACTTCCTTTTGCGGCCGGCCAACCCCAGACTTCGAGTTCGAAATACCTCCTTGGTGGATAACACGTTCACCGACAACATCAGCAAGAGGGCAGAACTTCGTACCCCAAAACTTCGTGCCCCCAGGTTGAGATGGAGACCCTGGAAGATCGGGAAAGGCGCCGCGGCTACTTTTCGAACACACGGTTAGACAGAAAGAGGCCTGCCGAAGACAAGCCCGATGGACTGGATGCGGTATCGCAAGCATCAGCAACGCGGTGTGAGCGCGCCCAACTTGTGCTTTTGCGAAATAGCCACGCCAGGAAACAGGCGCAGCTTTCGCTACGATGACCGGAAAAATGAGGCATTCAACAGCAAGAGGTCCAGCGCCAGGAGGGAGCGAACAGCTCCGACAGCTCTTCCAGCAGCAGTGCGGAATCCGAGACTAGCTCACCCACATGCCTTGCAGAAGGCTGACCCGCCGAAGTTGCGAACACGGCCGCTGCGATCAAAGTATAGAAATGCGTAAGTGCACCAGGTAGCAGGGTGGCTGCTAAAATGCTCTCTAATCCCTTCTCTGAGAATCCCAAATCCGGGAATACTACATTTAGCATAGGCCGTACTAAACCAATTCCAAAGAAGGTATTTTCCCGCCCGTGGCCCTATTAGGGGGAACGTTTCCTTTGCTGCGGTTGTACTACAACGTTGCGACTTTCGTGCCGAAACTCCAGGAGTACGTTTCCTTTACGGTCGTACTACAGAGTTGCGACTTTGAGCCGGAGCTCCGGGAGTACGCTTCCTTTACTTCAACTATACTACAAAGGTGCGACTTTCGAGCCGGAGCTCCGGGAGTACGTTTCCTTATCTACGGCGGTACTGCAAAGTTTCGACGTTCGAGCCGGAGCTCCGGGAGTATACGCTCCCTTTACTCGGGAATACATTTCCTTGACTACTGCTGCACTGCGAAGTTGCGACTTTCCAGCCGGAGCTGTCTCCTTTTCTCTCTCGCCTTCTCTCTCCACGCGAAGATATAGGACATTAGTTATTTGTTTCGCAGGGTTCTCTGAAAGCAAAGAGGGGGAATCGCAGTTGGCGGGAGTGTGTGACCGTTGGCGTCAGGTCCGCCTGCCCTGCGTTCGGGTTACAGACACGATCCATCAGACTCCGAAAGACAAAACAAAAGCCTGCTAGATTGCAGACAACAAACTGCATTCGGGATCATATTTCCTGGGCCCCAGAATGTTGAGAATGCACACCACGGCGCTTTGTTTTGGGCGTTGGAAAATAGCATTTGGGCGGGTTGGGTCTTAAGATCTTTCTTTGAGAAGGCAGACCTGGGCACCCCCAAAAGCTGCTTTCGGCATTGGAAAAAAACATTTGGGCGTGTTTCGTGAAATGAGTACAGACCACCACAACCCCAAAAGGTGTTTCGGGCATTGGGCAAGAACAATGAGCGGGTTTCGGGCCGGTTCGCACCAAGAGGCCGAAACGTGTTCACATTGAGAATGCAGACCACCAGATTTCAGGCATTGGAAATCAACATTTGGGTGCACTGGTTCCTTGAGTAAGCTGTTGACACATGGTTTGCGCTGTCCGACGTTGCAGTTTTAGTGGTGTTGTCGACGGAGGGTTGTCGACCATGTGCGCCCCACTGCGGGCGCAAAAGTAAGCGCAAGTTTCGCCAAAGGGCGCCAACAGGCAACAAACAACTCAAAAAAACTTCGACCAACGCCCAAATAGCTGCGGAATTCCGCAATCTTAGTTCTTGAAGCATGGTTCTAGGCTTGAACAATTTGTGCGCCGGGTTTAGATTCTGACTCATCCCTTTTCCCTCGGGTTGCCCTTTTGAAACCACCAAAAAAGCCGCAGAGACCGCCAGAAACCGGCCAAGAAGGGGGTTTTGAGACCCCACCCTGGGCCACTCACTTCGGTTCGCCAGGTGTTGCCGTTGCTCCGAGCGCTTTCTCCGATGCAGCTCCTGGGGCCCCGGTGGCAAGCTTCGGCGGGGGCCTCGGGGATGACAGGCCCATCCGTTGGCTGAAAGGGACCTACCTAGAGTCTCCATGACCCCTAGAAAATGGGGGTCATGACCCCTTAATTTTAGGCAATGACCCCGTTTTTTAAGGGTCATGGAGACTCTAGGTAGTTTTGTGAAATTTCCCTTGGTGGTTTTACAGGGAATCGGTTTCACTACTGGGATATATGTGTGTTGCTTCTTTCGGGGGCTTCAGGAACAGGAAGTTTTGGGCGGTCCTTTCACGATAAAATTTGACCGAGTTGTTTGGAGGATTCCGCCCTTTTTCCCTTCTTATTCGGGGGGTTCCTCTCTAACAAATTTGAGTCCCAGAAAGGGGACCCTTTTCTAGGGTCATTGGGCAACTGGACATATGCAAAGTATTTAATGGCCTGCGGCCTGGTTCCGCCGCCCCCACACACCTTAGAATTTCGGCCCGGGACGAGAGAAAGCACGCGATATGTAGACAGACACAGACAGACACAAAGACACGCAGACAGACACGCAGCGGGGGGGGAGGGTCTTCGCGGACACGAAGACAGACGCAGATGCGCAGGCAGACGCAGACAGAGCCAGACAGACACAAATACACAGACAGACACGCGGGGGGGGACACGAAGAAAGACGCAGATACGTAGACAGACACAGACAGACACAGACAGACACAAAGAGACAGAGACAGACACGCAAGGGGTCTTCGCGGACACGAAGACAGACGCAGACAGACCCAGACAGACACAAAGAGACACAGACAGACACGCAGGGGCAGGGGGGGTCTTCGCGGACACGAAGACAGATGCAGATACGTAGACAGACATAGACAGACACAGGGGGGGGCGGAGGGGTGGGGGAAGACTACCCGAAGCCTAGGGAAGAAGCCCGAAAGCACAGGACACGCGCGTTGTTTGGTCCCGAAACAGTATCGGAAGACTAGGAGAAGAAGCCGGAAAGATTGCGGAAATTTACGGGAAGAAGCTTGAAAGATTTCGGAAGACTACGGGAAGAAGCTGGAAGACTACGGAAGACTACGGAAGACTACGGGAAGAAGCCGGAAGACTACGGAAGACTACGGAAGACTACTGGAAGAAGCCGAAAGATTACGGAAGATTACGGGAAGAAGGCGGAAGACCACGGAAGACTACGGGAAGAAGCCGGAAGACTACGGAAGATTACGGGAAGAAGCCGAAAGATTACGAAAGATTACTGGAAGAAGCCGGAAGACTACGGAAGACTACGGGAAGAAGCCGGAACACTACGGAAGACTACGGAAGGACTGGGGGGGGGGAGGTGGGGGAGGGGGGGGGAGGGGTGGGGAAATCCAGAATTCCTGAAATCCAGAAATCCAGAGATCCAGAAATCCAGAAATCCAGAAATCCAGCCGACGTAGAAACCAGCCCCAAGGGCCGCCCCAAGGGACATATAGGTTATATATATATATATACATACATAATCATATTCACATTAAACTTATAGAAAGCATATCAACAAAAGCAACACAGAACACACCGCCCCCATGCCGAAAGCATGGTCCATTCTGGACCTTTTACTTTCCAGCATGGGGTCGGCGGATTTGGAAACAGCGACCAAGCCCAAACGAACAATGAACCTTGTTCTTGAAAGACTCGCACACCCATCACCAGTTCAGATGAATCACATGCTGCTTGCTCCCCCGCGCGTCGATCGTGTCGAGTCCTAGCGAAGTCAAGATGTAGCCTGCCAACTTGCCACCATGGTATCATGTGTTAAAACCCTCCTGGCCCCGTGCCTAAATTGGGAAGCAGTTCTGAGGTCCGTGTTTGTGTTGCTTACAAGGTTCCATTGATTGCCATTTGGCTCAAGTCATAAGTGAGGTTCAAGATCTTATGTGTAGCTGCGTTCATACGTGATCGGCAATTGAGAGCGGAAAACACTTCGCTTGCGCTGCATTTGTCAGGACCCCTGTTGTAACTATTATTCCTTCTCCCTTACAACAGTTACACGGGTTCGGCTATAACGGTTTGACCGTATACACCTTTCTACGTGGTTGGTATTTACAGCCGTCTCTTGACAGGTTATCAGCCGTAACGACAAGCTCTACACTGGACAGAGAGACAGCTGGTTTATTGCGGGTACAGGGACAATAAAGGGACAATAACCTACACGGTACAATGGCATCTTCAGCGAGCCCAAGTACTGCAACTTTTGGGAACAGCAGCTCAGAGGGATCCAATGGATTGATGGCTCTTCCTGCGGTGATGGATTTGGTCGCAGATTTACAGGATGAACCTGGGAGCGGAGGATCCGCGCTATTCAGCGACATATCCACTCCTACAAGATCATGGAAGCAGATCGATGTTCGTCAGGAGTCGAAGCAAAGAGAATCCCCGCCGAGAAGATCATCATCTTCGCCTGCGACACCACGGACGTCGCAGAAGGGCGTGAGGTCAACATCAAAAGGTGGGAGGTCTAAATCACCCACCAGTGCAGAGTTTCGCGCCGCGATTAAAGAAAAGAACAAGATGGAGATGGAGATCGGGGAATATCAAAAGACACTTGATGAAATGTCGGCAGCAATGGCGAATCTTCATCAAGAAGACTATGGGAGCACCATCCGGATCCAGGAGCTGGAGAGACGATGCGAGATTGCCAGCAAGCAGTCGGGACATCTTGTGAGTCACCACCAACACCACATGGCTGAGGCATGGCGCAAGTTTGAGGAGGAAGCCCAACAGATGCGCAAGGTGGAAATGAACGCATATCAGTACGGGGAAAAGAAAGACATGGAGTCGAATGTTATAATACAACAGATGAGACAAGCTGAAGGAACTATTATGGAGCAGAAGCGGGAGATTGCAGTGATGAAATCCTACATGGCAAGCGAGAAGTCGGCCGCGCAGGAATCAGCTATACGTGCAAATCAGATACACCGTGAGGCTTCGCAACAAATATCAGTTTATCAGCAACAGATCAGAGGTATTGAATCGTCTACATCTATCGAGAAGTTCAACGAGGAGGAGATGGTCCAAAGTCTAAAATCACAGTTGGAGCATGCACTCGTCAAACGCCCCGAGACGTACTCTATGGAGGACTCCAGGGAGCAGCTGATGGCGAGACTGAACGACGTTACAACATTCGCGGAGCAAGAATCGAAGAGAGCAGAGTGCTTACTTCGCGAGAAGGAAGAGATCGTCAAGCAGTACGAATCCGACGTGTTGAAGAAGGACCAGATGATTGCTATCGAGGGTAGTCATCGTCAAGATGCGATCTTGGAGTTAGCCCAGGTCAGAGAAGCAAAACAAGAAGAGCGGTGCACGATGGACGAGAAATCGAAGGAGGCCGAGTACTGGAGATTGACAGCTAAAGGAGTGTATGATGAGTACCTCGAGGAGATGCGTGAACTTCAGGGACAACTGAAGGATCGGGAGGCGACGCTCAAGCAAGAAGAGAGTTTTGTTCGTCAACTCGATGCTGACAATGAGGAACTACGAGCACTCAAGAAGCTGGAAACACAGGAAGCCTCTAGCAGTAAAGATGGACATCGTGAACGAGCAGTAGTGAAACGCGCTGAGGGAGGACCCCAAGCTAATTCGACTAGGGTAGACAAGAGGGTGACTGGGTTATTCCCGTCATCATCATCGAATCTGATCCCTAATTCGTCACTAATGCCAGGTTCGATTCTCTTTCCGTCTTTTGGTGATCCAATGATCGATGTACACCTATCCCAGATGCAAGGGGTTGTTGGGCATGTCCCACAATCCGCTACTACAACTGGTGGTAGTGGTGATGGAGGGGGAAACAACGGTACTACACCCCCATTGGATTACGGTGGATTCTCGCCCAATGGAAATAGACAAGGGGCAGGTCGACGTCAGTTGAGCCTCACAGGTGGCGGAGGAGGACCTCCGGATGATCCACCCGATGATGAGGACGAGGATGACGACGACGAAGAGGATGAAGAGGACGAGGAAGAAGAAGAGGAAGAAGATGACAATCGGACACGGAGGAGGCGCAGAAGATCGAGGGATGATCGAGAAATCAAGAGCGAAAGACCGAGGATTTCGAGGAAAGAAGCCGAGAGGGTGTCTATTCCTGCTTGGCCAAAGATCCATCAACTCGATAACTGGAAGATGCAATTGCTGATGAATGTTCTGAGCGCATGCGCAGATCCAGATACTGACACATGGACGAAATGGTTGGAACAGGCTCTTGGGTTAAACCCAGACCTAAATCTGCTGAGCGACTCCGGCGGCGACAGATTCGCTACGATAGATATCAAAATGGCCATGGGCATGCAGAACATGTTGAAACAAGCACCTGACGAAGCCAAAGACGTGTACCTCGACGCTACGCGACATTCGGAACTACGACATCAACAAGGGGTGATCGTGAAGGGACGAGAGTTGGTGGCATTGGTTATGCAATCATTCAGGACGTCTGATCGAACGGATCTTGTCTACCACATCGAGCACCTATTCAACCTTGACTTTCCTGGAGACAAGAATCTGGTTATATTCAGGAACAAGTGGTATGATTTGTTGCTAAAGATGAGGAGCGAAGACAGACCCAGCAAGTTGGCTCTCAGAGATATTCTCTACAGGAAGATCAAAGGGAGCAAGAAGATGGAGTTCGGCCTCAACACCTATCATAGATTGCCGGACAAGCATCCTCAAAAGACGTACGAATTCTTGTTGGCATTGATCGACCATCAAATCAAGGCGGATCGGGAGGACCTGATGCTTGACATGAAGGAGAAATTGGTCAAGTCAATGATGAAGTCGGGCGGCAGAGATGCAGCCCCGGCTACTGGCAAACAGGAGAACCAGGGTGGCAAAGGCAGGAAGGGGAAACCCAGTGGACCTGATGCTGCTCCTGTACTCCCAAAGGCCAAAGCAAAGGGTCACGCTGGTAAGAACGGCAAGTCCGACGGTGCCAGCGATAGAGGCAAGAGTCCGAGCGGAAGTAAGGATAACCCATGTTGGTATCACTTCAAGGCAGCGAAGGGATGCGTA